ACTGAGCTCAGGAGTTTCACGACCGTGATATGAAAAACATATTTCAAGACTACTGCATAGTGCGAATTTCGCGTTTTTCACCACCGAGTTTTACGCCACTTCACGTAAAACGGGTGAAACTCCATTATACAACTTCACATGCAAATCCGGGGAGAAACCAATGAAAATTTCCCGAATTTTCCCCGAAATTTTCAGATGTTCCCTACACGTCGTTCCAGTCAAAGGGGTAGAGCATCGCTCTGATGCTTTCCAAAACGGTGGTCAGCAAAGTCCCACTGCGCTTCCTCGATACGACAGCCAGGCGCTGGTCCAGTAAAAGGCGCTCCAAAACGAAGATGATCGATTCTGCAGGACAGAACTAAGCGGGACAAGACGGGTACTAAGAACCTTACGAGTCGAAAGATGTGCGAAAAGCGGTAGGAAATCCACGTCTCGAGTGAAGCCCAGACAACCGCCTTGCAGCGTCAACAATGGGCCTAGACAAGACATAGTGCACCTCCACAAGGCTGATAGGCTCACCGAGATTTCCGAGTAGAGATGTTGAAGTCATTGCCGAGGGAAGGTAGGGGTACACGACTGGGAGGGAATTTACCTACGAAGGGGATGATCCACTTGTCCTCAGGAGTGCTCTCACAGCATGGTAAACCGCCGAGATGAACTCCCTTTGAAGGGTCAATGCTGTTTCAGGCCTAAATGACGATTCGATGCGGCTCTGCAGAGGACCGGATGGGACTTACTCGAATCGTCGTAGAGCTTCCGAACGATCCTGGGAGATTTTGAAGAGCTTTCCGAGGAGGTTCCGATGAGCTGTCAAACACGGCAAAGTTGTAAAGAAGCCAATAGCGATGGGGGTGTAACTAACGAGAAGTAGGGTGAATTCCACTACTAAACTGAGTTACAATTTTGTGTCGTATGCGTCTAGGTAGAGACTCTTTGCGTCCAGAGGCTCATAGCCCAGTATTGCAGTTACGTAGAACATACTGTAACCAAGGTCCACCAAAACCTAAGAATATAGTGACATCATCGTTTAGGAGGGACCATACAAAGTTGCTGAGCTCGCATGCTGTTTTGTCCTTCTCCAAATCAGTGAGGATTCTCCCACCGAGTGGATAAAGCATTCTCGCTATCGCATCTCGAACTTGTTGTGCACTGAAGAAGATGAATAATTTATTTATTTTCATACCGCACCTACTTGAAGTAGTCTGTGACCTTATCACGTGTCGGTGTAGACTGGACAGGAGGGTAGCTGGCTCGTAGAGTCATCCTCCAACGATGACTCGTCAGCACATGAATAGCCGCAGTCTCGCTCTTCGTGCTGTCCCCAGCTGAAGATCTACTCCGATTCAAAGAGGTATCTTGAGGTCCAAGATGGTAAGATACAGAATAGGCCCAATTTCGTACCAAGACCCCCCTCGTCATCTTTCTCTTTAGTCTCCTTATTAGTCTTTGGAGCTGCCCTTCGAAATGTACTGCGGACCGCCGCACTGAAATCACCATTTCCACCGAGCACGAAAATTATATATTCTACACAAAGGAGTCAATTGCTTTGCTGCCGCTCCCAACAGCGTCGTCTTCTCCAGAGGCGTCCTGAAAATTGAAAGTTTAGGGAATTTGGACACCAGTATAAACGTGGATATTCGTACTTGACAACTGAGCATGATGAACACAGTGTTGGAATATGATTTCGCTTTCCTCAGCCGAGTTCACATGTTACCCTAATAGTTTCACAATAGTTTGTATGTAATAGTATTACGGAAGTTTACATACAAATTTTTGTTTAGAAATCAACCATAACTTCCCCAAATTTTCATATTCCTCACTGAGGCCCTACCGGTAGAGGTGAGCCCGAGAGCGGATGTAGATGGCCATCAGATGTATCCAAGCCCACTATAAAGACTCTCGATACGAACTCATAAGGTCTGGCCACGGTATGCTTGGGCTGAGCTGGTGATGCTGCCTCCTCTTGATTGTCGAGCAGTGACGCTGAGGACATCAGTTGAGACGCATTCGAAAGTACAAAGGAAACCTGGGAGTGTAGTACAGCATGTACGGAGCTGCTGAGGATAAAGATGATGAGAACCCAAGCGAGCGTTGCGAGGGATAGCATTGTGGTGATCTCACTTTCGCACAAGTAGCCTTCGGAACAGCAGGGTGAATGTAAAACAGTAGAACACTTTAAACTCGACACCATTTGATACAATGAAGTTTCACCAGTTTTACGTGAAGCGGCGTAATACTCTGTGAAGAACCGGCGTGAAATATGTTTTTCACTAGTGCTTTTTCATATCCCTTGGGTGGTGAAACTCCAATAACATAGATCACGATACGGTGTGGGTACTATCCGGCCAGCAAACTCAGGGAGGATTATAAAATATCGGAAAACTTCAACATTTTGAATGACAACTAACTATCGTGTATATATGCTCCTCGACTCCTCAGAGGGCTGCAATCACGACACGAATAGCAATACGAAGAATGCCTATAGCAGTAGCAATAAGATCTTCCTCCACTAACGACCGCTACTACTACATGCTTCCACCTCACATTTAACCCTCATACGTTAGTGATATTCCAGCCCAGCCCAGCAGGTAAGGAACATCATTAGGATCGAATCTGTCCGGAACTTGCTGGAGCTCAACCACCAGAACCTCTAGTTTGAAAGGCGAGGACATGGCTGACATTTACGATGAAAGTCTCTACCGTGGATTGGTGTCCGAGGCCCGTTACGCTGTTGCCTCGGTTGGGATAATGATCTGCGACCCTAAGTGTTCGAGCCTCAGATTTCCCATTTCGCTAGGCTCGCTGCATTGTGTCACGAGTATCGTGTGCATCATGTCAGCTGAGCCACCTTCTACCACAGAGGCAAACAAACGCTCATTAGAGAGACTTCCTCTTGGCACTCAAAACTAACAAGGGAATCCAACAACACTTCATAGAGTTGCAAAAATCACATCGCGACAGATCATAATCAGCAATCATCTCAAGAAGTTCAGCACAGGAACCCCGCCACTAACAGGGTGATTTGAAAATCCCAACGACCGAAATGCAAGATCTGGATTTTACAATGAAAGAAATTCCACTACTCGAATACGAGGTAAACGAATCGCCTCGCTAGCAGCCGCCAGAAGATTTTATCGCAGCTGATATGACAGTATTAGGAACTAAATAGCTAGTAGAGCAGCACTTCACCATTTATGTGGAGTAGGAAGTACACCAGATTACCTTAAAACGGTAAACTGATTAATCACTCACAATTGCAATAACGATGATCATAAAAGACCACTTACCCCTACAATGGAGTTTCACGACCGTGATATGAAAAACACTAGCGAAAAACATATTTCACGACTATTGCAAGGCGCGAATATCGCGTTTTTCACGGAGGTTTATGCCACTTCACGTAAAACGGGTGAAACTCCAATGAACAATTATTACAGCTAATATAAGTATTATATGAACAATACCCTATTATGAACTATCACTAATGGACGACTCCCTGGTCCAGCATAGTGCGAACAGCTGGGCTCAAACATAGGAGAATCAAATGCCTAAGCAGCAGTAGGAGGGCATTCAAAATTCACTTATGAATAACGGTAAATAATTATGCATTGTGTTTACATTATTACCATTATTGCAAGAACATGATAATGAATGATATTCCCTGATACTCTCAAAATGCTCTCCAAGCCGCTTGAACTTATATACGACACCAGGCACAGCTAGGCGCAAGCTCCAGTGAGAGTTCCCGTCCTGGACTAGAGGGAGTCGCCGTGATTAGGGAAACATTCTGTGGCGCGTCTCGTCATGAAAGCGACAGAGCCGCCAGCTGTGTGGTTGAATGCTCCATTGTGCTTCTAAGAACAACTAACATCCATACAATTAGAAAATTTTTCACAAAAAGAAATTAAATTTTTTTGAAATCGTCGTTAACAAATTTCCTACACTTCATTTTCAGCCGATCAATATGCTATACCATTTGCAGTAGTTCCCATTCCCCCTCGAATAAGTGAGCCCAATAGTGATCACCTTGAAGCTCTCCGCATGCCGAATATACGACAGCTTTCTATCCTCTCCAGAAACCTCATCAGCAACGCGTATACAGTGTGTAGTCATGCTTGCCACACTATCGTGATCATACTCTTCTACCGAAAAAGCTGAGGAGATCCACTACTAGGAAACACTGAGTGTCAACAAACTCACATGTATCGCAATTACCGCCACTCTGGGACCTGTTCGCTCGGGTGCTGGTGCTAGCGGAAACATTAATATATAAGAAATAACTCCATCGAAATTAATTTCCCCTTGTGAAACCAAACACATTGTCGTGTAGGAGACCCTAGGAAAATTGGGCAAACCAGTTTTCCACAAATCGTATGAGGTCGCCGAAAATAATATTCCTCTACAATACTCGTTCTATAAATACATGATAACGAATAAAAAAATGTCCAACGACAAACTGTGGCATTCTATGTCGAATGCTGTTTTCATACCATCCCTCCTCGAACGAGTACAACAATAGAGGAAAGGGCTGTATTGAAATTCAGTGCTAGTGGAATGTTATAGACGATGAAGAGCCTCGTCTACGAGCAGATATAAAACTTTATATTCAGTGGCTTCGACTCCGAATCCGTAAGAGATGTGCGCGAACACACCGGTACGTTAGAAGGCTCCACATTGCCATTGACACGCTGACTGTCCTGCGAGTACGTGTTATTGCTGACCCTATTATGATCCTGAACAGTCACGCGGATGAGAAAAAACAATTCGAAAAAATTCATGCCATCACATATTTTGTGCCGCGATTTTACCGAAAAATTTCCGAAATTTCCGGAAACTCGGAAATGCTCGAAAATTAGCCTATGAAAATCGCTACTACATATACTGTGATTTTTCAGTTGCGACGAATTCACACAAAATCTTCATAGTTGAATCCAAGTGCTGATGACGTCTCACCTTGAAGCTCTCAACATTGACAGTGAAGACCAGTGATTCCCGATTGGCCCCTGGGACCTCATCCGCAAAACACAACGAATGACTCTTCGACTTCGACATTATAACGCAGCCTGAAAACAACATCGTCAAAAGACGAATTCCCCAATAATTTCAAAATTCTTACCAAACCTGTCTCTTCGTATCCCATCAGATTCGCCCTCAGTTACTTTCCCCTTCACCGACGCCGACGCGCAGCCCTGCTGTTCAACATCGACCTTGTCCATAGGAAAGGGACAAGGAGACTACACATCGACCATTCCAACACTTTCAAATTATGACAGTTCGAAAGTCAACGCTGAGTAATATCAAAATTATAACAATGTGAATCGATTGACACCAACGTTTTAGAAACGTTCCGTAGTCCGTGGTGATAATGTCGAATTGGAGAAAACCATCTCGAGAATTCAACTGTTCGGTTCGCACTGTATACCACCCTCAAGTGAACACAACAGAAATTGTAACCAGTGGCACCGCAACCTGCGCATCAGCCACGAGTGTACTATAACCAGCAACAAGAGCAGCATTATATAAGGAACTTGAAACTAGTTGGCATTCCTGGTTTATTACTACGTCGAAAATCCTATTCAACTGAATGATAGACAAAGATGACAAAAGCACTAATAATAGACAGAGATGCACTACGGCGTAGACTACGTATGAGCCGCCACGGATGCGCGGGTTACATATAATTCGAATAGTAGCATTTCGAGTCCAGCGAAGAATTATATCAATGAATGAGTGCTCCTACTAGAGCGCTACCAGCGATGTTGTATAATGCGTGTAATAACGTCAGGTTTAACGATGGGAATAAGACAATCTAATTTTGATACGATTTTGGAATTCTGTTTTTGCGGGTACCCATTGTCCCATTGAGACAGTCTAGGAGAAGTCCCAGTGCAGTAATGCAAGTCGATCCGCAAGACGACGAACCGATGAGCAACTCATCAGGACGATATGTGGTGGCGTAGGTGAAATCCTGAATGAATACGGAATGTACCAAACAATAAAACGATATTTTCCGAAAACCTCCTCAAAAATTTTGATATAGTCCCCTGCACACTGTTAACAAACTGTAGGCTGTGTATTTTCCAGCGAGAGCACGCAGCGATCGTCAAGGAGGTTCTACCACTATAAGAGCACTCACGTTCACAAATCCTAGAGAAACTAGCGTTGAACATTCTTACCTTCACACTTGGTACAAAACATACTTCTTCCAGAGAAATCTGTGAGCCGGGACATTGATCAGGGAACCTCACATGCCTGGCAGTATCACCACTCGGAGACATATCTAGCAAAAAAGTCTCATCCGATTTTCTGTGGAAACTTACTTTCATCGGACGAGTCGAGAAAGAGACTATCTAGTGTCGATGTTGATGCCAAGCTGTGGTATTTAAGACTATCCTCACACACTGAGTTATCATCATCAGGATGTTTCAAAATTCCACTACGTGGAAATGCCTTCTCAGATTTACGGGTGACAAGCGGATCTTTCATAATGTTTAGATACAAACGAACTGCATAGAATTGATCAATTAGCCATAAGAGCGTAAAACAAATCGGTAACCTCAACTAAAGTCAAACACTACTACATAACAAGCATGGACTCATATCAGCACACACACAAACACACTGTCCCTCCAAAAACCGTTTCCAATTATAACTCAACAACATCTACTTCTATCCGATATCCACGTGGTCACAAGAGTAGACGGAAGATAGCTCGAAACTGGCAAAAATACGCCACTAGAAACGAGCACACCACTCAGGAACGACAAAGTAAAACTAACAAGTATAACATCAAACACATTCACTAGTACAACAGTGACAACGAACAAACCAGCGGCGAGCTCGGACAACCATCGCTCACTGGAAGATCGATCTCACAATAAAATGACAACATATGATCAGAGTTGAAGAACGTTGGTAATCACCTCGTTAAACCAGATGTTATGTTGTCGCATATCCCTCAAACCGGGGAACGACACAGGAGGTATATGTGGACCACGATGGGTACTACTGCTGACTTACATACAGGAACAGCATCGGATACATCACTGACAATAGCTTGTGAAGCGGGCTCGAACGAGCTATACGCTTGGGACTCGTCTTACGAAAATACACTAATAAGTATCACAGGTGTATTGGTATAAAAGGAGACGGGAGAGCGACGCTCCACATGGAGACTACATCAACCGTAACTAGGAAAAGAAGAAAACTTTTTTTGGTATGATTTTGATCATTAATACACAATGCGATGAGTGATCACATTGACCACGTTGACTAATACGATGTAACATACATACACTCACCCACGCCTTATCAACCATCAAGAGCACTTCAGGGGGGCCTATAGGTCGCAGTGAAACACCACCACGAGGAACAGCAGCATTATGTTTGCTACTGCCCTCCATACAGAAACAGATAGAACAGTTATTGTTACTCGGATAAGTACAGAAACAAGCTAAACCCAAAGAAACATGGGGAACTCTGAATGCGAGACCTATTGAGTAACAGAGGTCGCTAATCTCAAATGACGCTATGAATGGCGACCACCGTGGACCCCGAGTGGCTACTAGAAATTCCTAAGGAACTGGTCTCGTGGGACAAGAGGAAGTTCAGAGGTAATATTCAAGAGGCAACTCTCACAATACAGAGAACGATAAATACTCAGTAGCTTGTCCATCGGAGAAGAAACACTGCCGCAAGAGCAACAGTTAAATACAACAACTAAACTATACTGATGAAAGTGGTGGACTTCGAGTATGAAAACACACGATCGGCCACCCCAGTGAACAACTTGATGAAAGAGTAGTTGAATGATGAAAGGCAGCGTCTAACATCGTGAATCTGCAGCTGAGAGCTATTATCTCAGTGCGGGTTGAATACGTCCATCAAAGGAACTACGTCTTCATAAAAAATGCGGTGTGTTGATGGACTCAACTTACATATAATACGACTCAGACCGCAAAGCCGCAAAGTCCTCCTCCATGGGGTCACTCGCGGAGAAGAGGAGGTGGAGGAACTCCTTGAAACCGCCCATACAGCTCTGACGCTTCTCGGGGTATTCCGTGTCACGAGGCTCGAAGCTGAGAGAGCGATTCAATTCCTAAAATAAAAACAAACAGGTGCCAATGGTCAACGACAAGGAGCTACACACTTTATAGCACTCAACAGGAATCACCGTCTCCAGCGACTGGGGACTCCCATAATCATCAGGGATCTCATCAGCGAAGGAGATACTGTGGTCTTTGGAATGAGCAATAATTTCATTACCTGAGGAAACACACCATATCAATCCAGACGCTGTATGAGAGAGAATCGACTCGAGTATCAGCTCCTCGAATGGAAACTGAATTATACACGGCTAACATGGTAGAATATACGAACTATAGGTGAAAAAACGCGATTGGAGTATGCTGAACTACGTGTCCTCTATAGGAAGAGGATCCAACCGTTACCCATGGAGATCTTACCGTTTCTATCCGATCGAACCGAGCGTGGCGAACTCAGCGAGTCAGCAGTATCCACTGACGACCCACGAGGCGCTAGAGTCGGACGAGGGGAAGACAGTGACAACAGGAAACCGAATCCGGAGATCTGTCCATTGTCATTTAGAGGGATATTTAGTTGGAGAATTTTTAACAATACTGCAGCACCGCCACCTGTCGAACTCTCAACGAAATGCCAAAAAGAAGTGTCGAAACAACCGCCACACATCTTCCCTTTTGTGCAACGTTGGAGTACTTTCGGGCGAGCGCTAAATCATTTCGCCATTCCGGAACCTAACTCTTCGGGCTATGTACCTCGTTCACACCCATGATCGAAATTCCTATAGTGTCAAGCCTATACATAGCATTGACACTTTTCCTTGAAAAAGCCTTTAACACTATAAGTAACCACATTAGTGTTACTCTGCTGTGCTAGCCATGGTGACACAACACATAGTCGTTGCTTGTCTACGATCATGTAAGATGCGATTTTTTGGAAGTCACATATTGTCGACCTGAACACCAACTTTCTAGGGTAAATCTGTCTTGAAAATGTTCTCTGATGGATTTAGGAACCCGACGGGGATTATGATATACTAAAGCTGATGGGAATATATGTGTCGATGACAATACATGTTTGTTTCTATACACTTATACCTCTCAGCGTGTGAAAACTCTCACTCCTGAGCTCAACTGAGGAAACGATGCCGTAGGTAAATTTTTTTGGTAGTTTCTCGAAATAACGTAGATAAATTTTCAGTTAATCTCAAACCCCTCCGATGTTAAGGTTAACCTTGCGAAATCATCAATCGGTCTATCGCAGTCTTCAAGTCAAGAATTCACTGAGCAAATCTCTAACTGTGGTGAAGGCCGAAGGTCTGCCCTTTCTCACTTGGTACGGTATATGGTACACTCTCGGTGTCACCCTCTGTCACACCTCCGTTTCCTGTCGACCCGAGCTCTACAATAAAGCTGTTAATATGATGAAAGCCGTCAATCTAGATCGCCTTGTAGACGTCGATCGTATCGATCCAGCAATAGGCAAATGGACTCTTATATTTGTCATGAACAACATCTTAGAAATACCCAGGTTGCCCTTCGTATTGGCCTCGTACGCCTGGTGGAAGCGTGCGGTCGTCACACGGTTATGAAAGTTATTGTGAAACTGCACCACTAGGTTCATTTTTGACGCCCTTTTTGTAGCATTCTTTCGACGTTGGAGGAGTCGAACGTACAGTGTATCCATTATTTGCATTGCACGAAATATCACCTATAAGGTCTACTGTGCCCAACACAGTGATGGTGAAAACACATTTGACGTAGTGTTGGTATCAATGGAGTTCCTCACTAGTGATATGAAAAACATATTTCACGACTATTGCAAGGCGCAAATATCGCGTTTTTCATGGAGTTTTACGCCACTTCACGTATTAAAACGGGTGAAACAGCAATACAGTAAGCAGTGTTGGAATATATGTTTGCTCTCCTCAGCTGAGCTCAGGAGTCAAATCACCACTTGGCATAGGAATGAACAAAAACTTGCAAGAAATTCCCCGAATTTTCATAGTGTCATCAACATGTGGTTGTCCTACGACGTGATGGGTCTCTGAACTCGACATAAGAAGAGGAGAGGGAGAGGGAGAGGCGGCAAGGGGAACCACAGTATAGCTAATGAGGTGCACGCATACACATGTGCGTGACTGCGAAGCTGTCTCCTTCATACACTAACATGTAGTTTACCATGTGCATATTTTCCCACACTGCAAGGAAATGATGGTCACCTTGTAGTAGTATTTTTGGAAAATGGTGGTCACTTCGGGTAAACCTGCAGTACCCGCTTTGGAGCTCACTCCTGTTAAAGAGGCATCGATTTTCGCGGAAATATGTCGGCGCGAGGCCAGGTTCACGAAGACCAGTACGGGCTTCACAGTAAGTCACTTTATTAATTGTGATTGACTTTGTAATTTCAGGTCAATCCGGTGTCGAGAACTGCTCGAAGTTACGGTTTTCAGAAACTTGCAATTTCTACGGAGAAACCATTGGTGAGATGGCAGTCCTGATTGCCTCGGTAGTTTCGTCTAGGTTACTCTACCGTTTACCGCAAGGGAGTTCACTGGAAAGCGACGGGAATGCTATGAGGTTACACAGGTAGGGACAGTTGTAGTGGAATATGTCGGGGCTCTACGGGTAGTAGTAGTAGTAGTAGTAACTACTACTACCACTACTACTATTACTACTAGTAATAGTAGTAGTAGTAGTACTAGTAAGCATTAGTATTATTGATGATCTCGAGTGCCATACTCAAATTCTTGTCAAGATATTCAGTGATAGAAGAACTCCCCATATCGTGTGAATGCGTGAAACTCGCTTCATCTTACTTATTGCGTTTTAGGCGAGGAAACGTCAAGGCAAGTACATTCCCTCTGACTTGACAGACTTGCCCGTCACACAGGCTCAAGATGTGAGTAGTCTGATTAGCTTCGACCAACATTGATCTACTCCCAGGTTGGGTGGATACAGGGAGCGTATATGCGTTTGTTGGAGGAGCGGTGTGAGACGAAGCGATCAGTAGAAAGGCGGCCGCGGACGGCACCAACAGTGTCGTGGGAAAAAGAAGGATACATAGAAGTGGTGAAGTCACTTGATCATATACACATAAATATGCACATGGTAAACTGCATGTGTTGGTGGAAAATTTGGAAAAATTTCGGGAAGTTTTCACTACGGGAATTTCAAACTCAGCTGAGGAAAGTGAATATATGTTGTGCTGAATGGATTTCGAACAGATTCCCAAAATATCAACCCCGGTGGAAGTCGGAGATGCGCGAGGTATGGTGAAGGGAAGCCAAACTGCGAGGGCACCGAATGGCTGGTCGGGTGATAAGCGGGAGTGGCGTCCATCTACTGCGAGGGTTGATCGCAAAACGCCGGATGCGGGGATAGAACCTAAGCCTGTGGTTATACCAAGGGTGAAGGCTGCCGCGCGCTCCCGCTGTGCCAAGAAGGCCGTCCGCCCGAAGACTGCTGTGAAGCCCGCGGTGTCGGAATCAAAGACAGATGATAATAACGAAGACGCTATAAGGTGGGGTTTCAACGTGGGAGTTATGACTTGGAGGAGTTGGCGGAATTGTGGTAGGCCAAAAAGTGCACATCCGGCTGGCAGTTGGGACAGTTGGACTCACTCTAGAAGGGTGTCTCGCACTAAGAGGCCGCCACCACTGCAACAAGCTGCTATACGAAGTGAGGCATGTGGGATTAGGATAGCAGTCTGGGGGGGGATATGCACATGGTCAGCTACATGTGTCGGTGACAATACGAAAATTTCTGAGAAAATTTTGGGATATTCTCGTTTTTTTCTGTGCATTTGTACCCGAACTTGCATATGAGCTTGTATAAACTGTGAAAAGGCTCCTGACCTCAGCTGAGAAGAGCGGACGTAATTTCCAACGCTGTGTTGAACTTGAAATTGATCCCTTCGTACTGTGGCTCTCACTGGTTTTCATAGAGTGTGTATTTGTTATTATCAGTAAGTTACGGTCGGAGTGGTATGGATTTTATTTTTCTTCTTTCTTTAGTGCTGGATCATCTGCCTTGTGTTGTAGGTACTCTGGCCAAGGGTGTAGCGAATGCCTTGATGAAGTCATGCGTAGACACTAGGTGGGGCCGCCCTAGGAAGAGTTGTGATGTCGTCCGGTGAGTAGGGCAAGGCGTCTATCGCAGTGGCTAGTGGGAATAGTTTTGGTATGTGAGTTCGATTCTAACCAACTACGGTATTTCCAGGTCAAATCTCGGTATTTTATTGGTAAAATTTTAGCCAAAAAATTAATTTTGTCGGGGAAAATTAATTTGAATTGGAATTGCTGTAGTATAGGTGGTTGTATACCAGTTGTGGTAGAAAGTATACTTGTAATGGTCAGATATAGTGACAGATTTCTCATCAGTGAGGGCCACAGTCCGTTCGTTGTACGTTGAATGTGATTATGGTTATGCATATTTGAAGCCCCTCATGTGTTGTTGTCCATACTAGAGACAGTTGTGTTGGAGTATTTACTTGTCCCTCATGTGTTGTTGTCTATACTCGAGACAGTTGTGTTGGAGTATTCAGTTGTAACTGAGGGTATTGCTGTTGACTGTTCGAAGCAGTGTGGGGAACACCTACACACGGTTTGAATAACAGTCACGAATATAAACATTCCAGTTGAATATACGGAAACTAAAATTACTTGCAAAATAAAATAAAAAAAACTACTTAAAAATTGAGATTACTTGTAACATTGCTTACGATAGTTGATGCCAAGTAGTAGCTTCTCGAATTCGCCCGAGAAAAAAGATCGCTAGCTGAAAGTTTTGGTGATATTTTGAAAATTCGGGGGGGATTTTGGGATGTTTTTGTTGGTTTCTGTACACTTCTACCCGAATTCATATGTATACTTTCATAATCAGTGAGGGAACTCCTAAGCTCAGCTGAGGAAAGCAATCACATAGCACACTCGAGCACATCCTGAAACTCTTACCTGCTCGTGCTTAGTGAAGCAATGGGGTTCAAATCGTTTACTATGAATTCTCAAAGAGAGTCTACGAGTGATTATATCAACAATAAACAACTGCACTCGTGAAGTCGTGAGACTTCTACCAATGGCAATGGTAAAAAAGCCGTAAACTCATAGGTTCTCTATGAGGAGTTCCCCTCGCATGAATATAAGGTGGATGGTGACTGTAAGGCACTTAAGTGTCACCGCACTTATTTTGATAGTTCTATTCTGACCACCGTGATGGTTGCAAAGCGTCGGTATCATCGCACTGCGGCCTCGGCGTTTCCGAGAGTGTTCATTGTCATTACGACCGGGGCAATACTGTGCTTGGTTTTCCTCATGGTGTGGTATAAGCAATTACAGGAGTACATGTAGGTGGCATACATGTTGTGCATGCGTGCAAGCCTGGTCAGGGATACTATAACGAGCTTCAAGACCGATGTTGACGGCATATCACGGCGACTGAACAAGCTCATTCGTATGGAGCAGGAGAGGCGAACTGATACCGAGATTGTTCGCTCCTATGTAACTCACCAGCAGCGCAACGATGAAAACACAGAAGCAGTTGAGGTGGCCGCGAAAGTCGTCCCTGAATCTACGGACGTCGGCAAGCCACGGAGAATGTGAGTTGTGAGTGATTCATCGCTGGTGTGGTTTGTATGATCGTTTCTGAGCAGTTACATGTTCACTTATGGTGGCCCTCCTGCGTGGTCACCCCCGGTTCAAATGCCTCTGGGGTTTTGTCTTGGCATGGAAAGCGCCTTGCAACAGGAGATCAGGGTCGAGGTAAGAGTGGTTGAGTTACAATGTTGCTTCCCTCGGCTGAGTTCAGGGGTTTTCGAAATTATAGAGGTTTACATACGAATTGCTAATAACTAATTTACATACATTGAGGGGGTTGCAGAAATCAGCAAGAATTTTCCGAAATTTCCTCAGAATTTTTATATCCTCACCAACACATGTACCCACACAAGACGGATAATGTGACGGTCAGCTAGTCTCATACCTTATCATGCATCGTTGTTATCCTGGTAACAGACCTATACTATCCACTGTACCCACAGGTACGGTACCTAGCCCTAGCAATTCACTATCATTAAGAAAGCAATTCCAGTATAGGTCTTCACATACGAATTAAGAGCAGAAATTAATAGAAACTTTTCACAATTTTAATATTTTCACCAATGCATGTAGTTGACCATGTGCATATTTTCCAACATTGCTTACATCTGAGTGTTCCCCTTGGAAGGTGTTGGGACCACCCGTGGATGTCACCAAAAAGGAGTTCACCGACCCTAAAGCCTTGAAGCCATTCGTGAGCTTAGCGGGAATAACATTTTTCCTTCCCCCATAGTGTTCTCTACTTAGGTGTTATTGAATCGGTTGAAGAGCATGCCTTCTGACGCACTGATGATATTCAACGACGCCTTAGATGTGTGGTTCACGCCTCATGCCAGCGAGGAAGCATTTGTGAAGGCGTAAGAATAGTCGATGCAATTGGTTTCCTCAACTGAGCTCGTAGGTTTCGTCACCATTTTATGAAAAATCACACGATTTTGGGTATAAGTGTACAAAAATCAACGATTATTTCGCAAAATTTCCTCAAAATTTCCATATTCCTAGCCAACTCATGTAGTTGGCCGTGTGCATATATTCCCGCACTGATGTGAAGGATGATGATAACATCGAGGCAGGTTCGAGAGAGAACTGCAAATTCCAGAAGACACTATTTTGGTCTCGGCGGAGCGTAACTGTTGGCCTCCACCAGAGAGGATGCCCTACTGCCGAGACTACCCTGCCAGTGAGCATGGGACTACATATAAATACGCCAATACTGGTGGCTGGATGGGCCGAGTTAAGACAAGTATTTCCCTACTAGAAGGTAGAGGGGGATGGCGATCGTCGTCGTTGTTGTTGTTGAGGGATGTGTTCAGCGTGGACGGCTTGCATTATGGATGGCAAAGATGAGCAAGGCTGCGTGCAGTGGTTTTACAGAGATGCTAAGGAGAGTCGACAGTAGGGCTATAATGTACATCGTGAAACGCTTCGCTCCGCTGTAATCGGGACGAAGGCATTTCACCATTAAATTCCAGGCCGCCTTTCTCACGTGTTTACTTACTTTGCCGACTGGTATAACAGGCGGAATTTTTCACTCAACGATTATTGAGATTGTGTGATTTCAGATATAGGGAAAACGTTGGAGCCTTTAGAATTGCCCTGGACGACACGCAAATGATATGGCAAACACTGTGGGGGACGAAGTTTGCTAATGTGAGGTGTTGGGAATATTCGGATGATGAAATGTCATGCCCTAGGTGGAGCGTGCGTTCCTTGAAGTGGACAGGGCAGGGTTTGGGGAGGAGGATGCGGGGAAGCTGGTGAACCCAGAAACATCGACGACGCCGTTGGTGGTCCATTTTAATGGGCCCAAGGACACTTTGGTGCAGTGGATGAAAGTAGGCTATTAACATTCAGAGCTTGTATTATTCCTATGCTGACAATGTTAACTGCTGTGAGACTAAGTGCGGATGAGAAGAAGTTCCGTGTGTGACAGCTTCAGTAAGCTTAGCATAATCACAATATAGCAATGTTGGAACTCCGTGTGTCGCATACACGGTACAAGTCGGTATGGAAGTTCTTATTAACAAATCCCAAGAAATGGTAGAACTTCTATTATTGCTATGCTGACAATGTTAACTGCTGTGAGGCTAAGTGATGATGAGAAACAGTTCCCTGTGTGACAGCATTAGTATAATGCAGTATAATGCACAGTATAAGCCGGCATGAAAGTCCTGAAGAATAAAACCTAACGAGTGTTAGAAGTTCTAAGTTAGAACTAACACTGTTAGTTCTAACTTGTTGAACTTGTGTTAAATCTATGCTGACAGTTCTCACTTAGGAGTGTTTTATAGTTAACTGCTGCGAGCCTTACGTGCTGATGGGAGGAAATTTCCTGCGTAGAATTGTTAGTATTATAGCGTGAATTGAATGTTTCTATTATCGAGAGCATTTTCTGGGTGGTAGAAAAGTGACGGCTCGGGTGACTCAGTAGTGGGGGGAAATATGCACATGGTCAACTACGTGTGTTGGTGACAATATGAAAATTATGAGAAAATTGTGGGCAACTGTTATTGATTTGTGTACACTCCTATCATTAGTGAGGGATATGTTCAAATGTGGTGTTGATGTAAATCTCGCTCGCCCGGAGGTTTGTGTGAAACCGTCAATTTATTGTTAGAAGTGGAGGAAGCATTACCAACTAGAGCCTGCGTTCCAAGAGGGGAAGGTCACCTTCTGGGGAGAGGTGAAGGATTTTTATAAGGACATATGTCCACATAATTTCATGCCGCGATTGCCGCCTAAGAAAGTGAGGGAAAAGTGTCGTGACCGGGGATCGAACCTGGGTTCTTTAGCCGGTACATGGACGGCGATGGAGAGCTGATTTCAAGTGTTCGGAGGTATGCTTGGGCAAGGACTGGCGGTGTGCTGCGGACACGAGGACGAACCCTCCGAAGGCTCCTGAGATTTCAATTGATGGCACTGCGTTCGCACTAGGAGGCGTAAGGAAGGATCGCGGTGTTGGGATGTTGGCACTCCTCAGCGGAGCGCAGGAGTTTGTGGACGAATTGGAAGAGTCTATACGTGAAGTGTATAGAAACTAACAAGAATCTTACAGAATATTCATATTGTCATCCACACATATGGTTGTCCATGTGCATGTCCCCCCCACACTGATGTGATGATGGTCATGTCCCTCACAGGTCTTGGCCGAATGCGATCCATCGTCAGCAACGCCGTGTTGTAGCGCAACTGGATGGTGTGGTGGCAGTAGTGCTCACTGTGACTGTGTCGACTGTATAGACTATCGTAGAGTTGCACGCATGAGGGAATTGCTGTGATTTCATACACGAAGACGATGTTATGTTCAAGGCTGTTAATTGGTGTGGTTGGAGGGGGAATAGGACCAGGCATATAACAACACAAGGGATAGGTATGAGGAAGAAAGCATACTACAAGAGTGTACACACATATGAGCATTATAGCCATAGCCTAGCTAAATGATAGCACTATAGCGTGAACAATAGGGAACAGAGACACGATGATTGGGACAGACATCCAACAGGAATAGGGCGACTTTGTTGCATTGATACCGTAGACTGGAGGATCTCCCTTGCTGGTCGCGCACGTTGTATATTTGTATGCACATGGTCTTGCATGAACGGCTTCATGTGGAACACTCTTGAGCCTGTGGAGAATCGGATAGCTACTCTCGAGGCCTTTGCTGTTGGGTTGACTAAGTACTACTCCCAACTACTTCAAGACTGTAGACCTGCGGGCTTGCCAGGATGGAAATTTGCGGATCACGAAATTGAACGTTTAGTGGTGATCCTGTCGTACTTGTACGAGAATCAGAACGGCTACTATCTGCAGCAGAGAAACACGGCTCGTCGGGCAAGGGTCAATGAGGAGACCCAGGCTTCGGTACGTCATCTAGGTATCAGCAACAGATGTCTTAGACACCAGTTCTCTGTGAGTGCTGATAAATGGATGGTATGGTGTTGTAGTTGTAGTAGATGTGAGGAGGTGAAGCTGTTGTAGCGTTATATTGTTGATATGGACGTTGATCCGAAAAAGCCAGGCAGCTTCGCTCCGCTGTGGGCTACCATTGGAGCCGTTAATCAAGTTGATCAGCATGTAAGCTATGACGTCACGTTATATTCATTACTACTGCTTCCTCATTGGAGTTTCACCCGTTTTACGTGAAGTGGCGTAAAACTCGGTGAAAAACGCGATATTCGCGGTGATATGCAGTAGTCGTGAAATATGATTTTCACTAGTGTTTTTCATATCACTAGGGTGAAACACCAATTCCTTTTCATGTGTTGTTGTTATTGCAGATTGGCTGTAGTCCTCGCTCGGTGAAGCTCGTGGCGAAGAAACATATATTTCTTATACTGCCAGATCGCGACGCCAGTGTTGGGATGAAATCTGGAAAGTGAGTTCAAATAGAGGTCTGCATTATTGTATTGTGCTCAATTTCAGAGCGGTCCGTATATTCCCGTGCTCCTTGAACTCGCACGATAGTCTGCGTAGATGGCATGCTGGGGAAAAAGTAGCCGAAAATGCAGTAGCTCTGTCGTGGACGGTAAGTTGCTGAGGAAATCAGTGGAGTTTCACCCAATACACAATCTTCAGTAAATAGCTACATAGCCTTTCCCTTAGCTAATTTATCGCTTCTTACTCATCTGTATATATCTGCCTTTTCTATCTATCCCATTCTGCTCTAGTCGTTGAGTAGAAAAGTGCACTAGTGATATGAAAAACAGTAACTGCATAGCGAGAATATTGGGGTTTTCACAGAGTATTACGCCACTTCACGTAAACGGGTGAAACTCCAGTGACGAGCAATTTGAGTTCAGCCGTCGTCGGGAAAGACGAGGGCCACAAAGGGTCGGGTCAAAGTTGAGGCCAAAGCCATCGAGGAGGACGATTGGTGCGCTCTGTGGATCATGACCAGTGACGAATTTGAAGCGGGGACGGTATCGTTTTGCTGTTGGGAGAAGGAGTATAGGAAGTATTATATTCGACATAACAACGACAATATTGATGTAATTCGACGAGATTTTGGTAAGAGTTGGTGACAAGTAGTTGGTTGTGCAGGCATGTGTAGAGGAAGTGGGCAGTAGCGGCTTTAAGCAGGCGGCGTCTTTTAATTTATTATTGCGATCTGGTAGGGTACCGGGATCGAACCTGCGACCTTTCCAATGTGCTCCTGTTACAGACTGCGACCCGAGAATCAATCGAAACGGCAGTAGTGTGATGAACATTTCGATCGACCCTAGTGTGCTTGAGGAGCATCTGCGGTAGAAAAAAGGAATCTTTCCGCGTGCGGTGGATGAGGGTGTTGCTCAGTTCTGACAAGTCGCGAGTAGAGGCGCAGGAGGCCGAGCAGGTGAGTGTCGGCGTGGGAAAATATGTTCAGTTTCCCCGAGCTTCCTGCGCTCGAGAATTATGAATATTCGCACACGGTTATGCGTAAAAGTGTAGAGAAATCAAGGAAAATTCCCCAAAATTTTCCAAAATTTTCCAAATTTTTATAGTTTCACCATCACATGTAGTTGACCATGTGCATACATTTCCACAGTGGTGAATGTCGCCGCCAGCTGTATGTGATATATGTTCGCTTCCTTCAACTGAGCTCAGGAGTTTCCTCATTATATTATGAGAATTTACCGTCGAATTCGGGTAAGAGTGGGCAAAAACCGACAAAAATTTCTCGAAATTTTCTCATAATTTTCATTTTTTCATCAACACGTAGTATACTCCCACATTATCAATTTCTCAGGGTTCTTCCACCGTCGGTCGATTGGAATCCGGAATATTACACGACAGGTTCTCCTCCACGTTATACAGGCTCGGCCATTCCATGTGATGCTCAGTTCGATTCCTAGTCGGGGAAGCGGGTCCTCTGGTGCCGAGCGTGGCGAGACAGACGTGGTAAGCAGGGGGGAGGGGCGCTTGATGGTGGTGCTTAGATTATCTTATTATGCAGTCGGCGCGGTCTCAGAAACGTACTCGAGATTTGCGATCGGCTCGGCAGAAGGTCAAGAAGAAGGATGGTACTCATAGTAATACCGGTAGTTATCACCGCGGTCAACTGGTGAGTGCATGGGTGTAGTGAAGTTTGTAAGGGAAGGATGTGTTCAGGTTCGGCCTAGTGTCGTGTATGACAGCGTTTTCGACTTGACACTAGAGCACGATGAGGCTCCGGATGTCTCTCGGATCGACCCTGCACCATCGACGGCCTCCGTCGCTGCGTTACTGGTCAGTTTTCAGCGCTTGCAAGATTTTGGTATTTTCGGGGCTGTTAGGAGTTGGAGGAGGCTAGACGGGCGCTGAGTGTTGCTTTGGATAAGGAATTGGAAAGTCAGAGGAAAATTAAACTGTTGCAGAAGCAGTTGGAATCTGGCAGAGAGGCTCAGGTGGGTCTGTGTGCATCATAGTTGGGGTTCGGTTAATCATGAGGGTCGTTGAGAAATAGTTTTCAACATATGGTCAGTGCAGTAGTGAAAGGCAAGTATCATCTAGAGAGGAGGAATAGGTGTCCAAGCGTTTTTTTTTTCGAAAATGAGAGTAAATGTTAGTAAAAGTGTAGAAGTTAGGATGAAAACGCGACATTTCCTCATGCATGCTCTCCTCGTATATCATGACTAGTATTTCCTATAGGAAGTGAAGCAACTAAGGAGAGAATTGAGTAGAACTAAGGAGAAGCTTGAGAAGGTGGAGGCCGAGGCTCGCGAGAAGATAAGGACTTTACAGCGTGAACTGGCTTTGGAGTTGGAGGCGAAGGACGAGGCATTGGTAAGGAAAAACCGCAACAACAGGCACTTTCGCGTTGTGCGTGCGTGCGTGATGAATTATCTTGACTGAACTACCGACCGTCCGAGGGCATCAGGTGGATCAAACGAGTCCTCTATATTCCGAGGTTTGCAGAAAAACTCGAGTACGCCCACAGCTTCAAGAAATATGTGCGAAAACAATTTTTGACGAAAAAACGTCCAGCCCGGGGATCGAACCGGGGACTAACTTCAGGATCGATTTGGGTGCACGCTTCGAAATCTATGACTATCAAATGAGCAATTGCAAATCATTTTTGATCATCTCACCTCCACAACGATCATTACATTTCCAAAAGTTGTGGACTATTCGAGCTCCACCCCTTCGTCACGAAGGCCTAGTTAGGAGGGTTGTTTTACAGTGTACAGCAGGACTTTATGCAAAGCGATATTCTCATATTTTGGGAGTTCGAAATTCAACGTGATAACTATGGAGTTTCACCCGTTTTACGTTAAGTGGCGTAAAACTCGGTGAAAAACGCGCAATTCGCACTATGCAGTAGTCGTGAAATATGTTTTTCATATCACGGTCGGGAAACTCCAATGTGAATCAGTTGACAACTTAGTCTAAGCTTATTGTTATGCTATCGAAATGAAGATAGCCATAACGAGCATTTTGATTTTACATTCAACTGTTTGGTTTACACTGTAGAAACAAACTGAAGTTCTCGAGGAAAAGCTGGAGAGAAAACAGGCTAGTCAGGAGGAAGCGCTCGACAATATGAAGTCGTTAAGAAAAGAACTAAAAAAGAAAACTGAGCGGCTGAGGGCACTGCAGCAGCAGCAAGAAATGATGGTGACTTTGGAATTTATGAGAAGTAGTTTAGGAGCTTTGCTTAGGGTATGGTTGATGACAAAAGAGTGGTATCGTTGGAGCAGGAGTTGCAGACAGAAAACCAAAATGTGATGAGATCTCTTAGGAGGGAACTGGAGAGGAAGGAGGTGATGATGAAGAACCTCCGAGATCAGCTTGAAAAGGTGAAGGTAGGGGAGTTCGATGATAGTTTGGGAGGAGGCATTCGGTGATGGTTTAACAGGGGAGTATGGGAGCACTGCGAGCTGAGAAGGAGGAAGCGCGGAATGCTAGTCGGCAGGCTGTGCTCAGGCTGGAGGGGGAGTTGGCGGAGGCTGAAGCGAAAGTAAAGGAGTTTAAGGAGGAACAGGTGGGTGGGGAATTTTTCATGTTTCCGAGGGAAACTCATTTTGCTAGGAACACATTCTTCAATCAGTTTCCCATGCACATGTCATCATCGCATTAGGAGCATTTCTACCATTTTTATAAAACTCTGGGGAATGTTATTTTTCAAAGATATACGGGTCTCTGGTGGGGGTTAATCGTAGTACTCATCGTGAGCCTGGCTGTGGTAGTTGATGAGAAATCATCACGTGTCTGGTTCTCAGGCTTACATTCAGTGGTGGCTTTGGTGATGATGTAGAAAAAACAAGTAGCGTTTCCGAATCTTCAAACTTGGCAAGATTTAAAACATTGTGACGATTCTTTGCAGTTGAAAAAATCGTTTTCTTTTCGGGCCGGTTTGAACATAATATGTGTAGGAGGCGGCGGATGCGAGGTGGCAGGAGGCGCAAGTTGAGAAGCAGGCTAGAGAGGCAGAGATTGTCGAGCTGAAGAGAAC